TTTTGTATTTTTAAACCCTCAATGACACATTTCCTGCACTTTGAAAGGCAAAATTAGGCGTAACGAAGAATTATTCATTAACGCTTAACGCTGAATTTAGGATGACAAATAACGTTTTACGTAGAATTAAAACGACCAATAACGCTTCACGAGGAATATACTGATAACGCTTAACGTTGAATTAGAGCGGGCCGGCAACGATTAACGGTAAATTAAAATAGCCCATAACGGTTAACGAAAAAGGGCATGCAGACCCTCATCGTAGTTTTGCATCACAGATACCAGTACGCTATGGGATAGGATTGATTTAACTTGCTACATTAACCGAGGACAGACAACACTTAAGGTCCTGTTCTGTATAACAGGAGCTTTCAGACTAATTTGCATCATCTTGTCTTGACTTGTCTGACTTTTGTTCCTTTTTCGACTTCCAAAAATTTGTCTTCACTTTATTTGCATATCAATCAATAGGTTGTGCTTATCTCTCTCTGGTCTCTCAGTCACTGACGAAAGCTAGTGGATACTAGCTGAAACGTCTGACGTTTTCAAAATCATATACAGTTGCTTGAGTAACTGCTTTTTGGCGTATCGTATTACCTTCATCGACGTACATTAACAAACCTTTGAAGACTTTGAAAATCCAGTTTTGCCACCCTAAAATTGCTCTGGATGCCTTTAAAGCTACGCCCACGGTATCAGTCAGCAGCTAGTTTCTCTGTACTTGCTGTGCATGTTGTGTTTGCCAGCACTGGTGGCCGATTCCTGACTGACGTTTGAAGCGGCTGACATGGTCTTGTGCACGGCCGTGAGTCTTGACGGACTAGCGCTCACGCAACTGTTGGTGTTCTTGAGCGTGTAGAGGACCCGCAGTGTCTGCGAGGGCGTCGTTGCGGTCTTGGGGGGCGCGCGGAGGAACGTGCTCAGCCCGTACACCATGGGGTTGACGCAGGCGTTGGCCATCCCGAACAGGTACAGCAGGTCCGTCAGCATGCGGGAAACGTGGCTGGTGTCGAAGTAGTTCACCCAGAAGAGGTGGACGTAGAACGGCGTCCAGCACACCACGAAGGCGGTGACGATGCCCACGGTCATCCACAGGGTTCGGATCTTGGCCCGGGTGAAGACTTGCTGCCTGCGGGCGTCCATAGGAGACTTGGTGTGCTGTGAGCCGGATAGTGCGTTACCTACAGAAACAACGGGGGTATATATCACGTCTTTACATTGTTTATTTTTGTTCCTTGTTTGTTTTGCACTCACAAGATAAAATGAAATATAACAATTGAAGTTAAGTAGACATGCATGGGAGAGCCGGAAACCTGGAGGTTTATATATTGCCCTTCCCAATATAAGATTAAAAGTTACCATTGATACTGAATGAAACAAAATTTAAACGAAGGAGACAAAAATAACAGGAAATAAACAGACAAACAATTCGAAGAACTAATCAAACAATACAAATCATCAATCTGAACAAAGGAGATCAACTGATTAATCTAGTTATTACGAACATAAGTACAAATGTAAATTATGTGAGCAATTCAAATCAACAAAACAAGGAAAGCAAACAAACTCAGGAAATGGTGGTTGGTTGAAGTAGTATTTCTCTTTTTAAAAGCTTTTTGACACTGGGTAAGAAGGGACATGTTCTCGTAGAAAGGCTTAAGTTGTTCCATATTGTCGGACCTCTAAACCTGATCGTGAAGTTATAGATTTTGCCTTGATTGGTCATAAGACCACACCGCCTTAATTTTATGGATGACATCCGCGCGCGCATTGATTTTCGCCTGTTCTCAAAAAAAAAAAGATCACGTCCACCGAGGCTCTGGTCTGGCTCTAGGTCTGGGTAGTCCATGGTAGTTAGCGACAATACGGAGCCGGTGGTAACTCTGGAGGACGGCACCCATGCTACCGAAGCTCCACGACTCAAAAACTCAGTACATACGTACAGTGCCGATTCATAAATTCCGCAAAAAGCCAGCATGTGCCGGCTTGTCGTATACGTCGCTAAGTATTGCCGTAAATTCACAATACCAGCTTTGTATTCCTATGGTTTAGTAGCATTTTTTATTTTTGGCCGGAATTTTTTTATTCGCCCGCGCGCACTAGTTTGGGGGTCTTCAGAGGATGTCATCCATAAAATTAAGTCGGTGTGGCCTAAGCCATTTTCAAGACCGACCTTTCGTCCTGGTGTTCTTGGCGATGCGGAGAATGATGCAGATGTAAGCGGTGATGATGATGAGGAGAGGCAGCGGGTAGATGACGACGAACGACGCCGTGGTGTACAGCTGCTTCTGCCACTTCGCTCGGTAGAAGTTGAAGTCGACGCACTGCTCGAAGCCCGGGACTAGCCGCTCAATGTGGAAGATGATAGCCTGTACAAAATGAAGGTAGGAAGGAAGGAAGGAAGGAAGGAAGGAAGTAAAGAAGGAAGGAAGGAAAGAAGGAAGGAAGGAAAGAAGGAAGAAAGGAAGGAAGGAAAGACCTTTATTGCACGTTTATGCTCTTACAAACCTCTTACAAGTACATGTCATGAATGAATGAAAGACTTTTATTGTACATTTTTTGCTCATTGCGAACTATGTACAGGTCACGGCAAATAGCGATGGTAGATTAAAATATATCTATAGTAAAACTACATATGTACAGGTTCTGCTTCTTCTCGCTTCTTAAGACAGTTGTAAATGTTATAACAGATGGAGCTTATAGTACGAGGATTATCGAGTTTCATGAGGAATGTGAATTTTTCACAATCAGCTCCAACTTTACCTGCACTAAGGTGCACCCAGTATGTCTAGCCCTGCCTAGCCATTGTATTAGTATTGCCTATTCCCTATCTATGTCTTTTTTTTTATTCCAACATGTAATCACCAGACGTGGTGACGGCACACTCAAGTTTTTTCAACTTATATTAATGGCGCCACCAACACAGGGGACAATACCATACTCATTTTCACCTGAGCTAAGTGAGGAAAGTCGTGTAAAGTGCCTTTCCCAGGCCAAGGGCACAAGATCGGTGGCATGTCAGGACTCGAACCCGGGACCTCTAGGTTCCGAGTCGCGCACGCTGCCGTTGCGCCACACGACCCCACCCCGACTATCTATGTCTACAGGGAGATGCTTATGCCGTGGTCTACACTTGACTGATTGTCCCTGACTTCCCGGTCCGTACGCTGGGATTGCGGATCACCTTGCCTGAAGCAAAGCGTTCATCTTCGGCAGAAGTAGTCACTGTTTTATGATTGCTTCTTACGAGGTTTACCTTGAAGATGCAGCAGCAGGCGATATGTTACATGTTATATATAGTATCCGAATTCGCCATACACCAGCCGACTTTGCGCGTACTCCTAATAACCATGGTTGGGGGATGTTCGGGAGGCAAAATTCGTGAATGCATGGCAGGAGCTTTTAGATTCCGTTCTGTTCTTCCGATAATGCCCATCGGCCGAGATGTCGGCAATTACCGGCTGACACGAAACGAAGGTACGCCAGACCCCCGCCCGGGTGATTTGAAGAGAATAACCAACTTCCAAACAGTAGAATTATTTGGACCATCGCACACCGGGGCATGCCCCTACTCTTTTTCGAAAGGTGGGTTCGTTAACCTGCGTGAGGTGTGGCTCTCCCCAAAACACGGGACCTCCATTTACCGCCTATCCGAGGGACGTCCCTAACCAAAGCTAGATACTCATTTTCCCCAGAGAGAAGTGAGGAAAGGCGTGTCTTAGTGCCTTCCCCGAGGGCACTGAAGATCAGTGACAAGGTGGGGTTCGAGCCCGGGACCTCTTGGTTCCAAGCCGAAGACGCTACCGCTACGCCGCACGCCCCCATTTCCTATTGGTATTCCAACGTTGTCCTGGAGGAAAGAGGCCAGACTGGATGTACTTACTGAATTACTGAGAGCTGTCCTGGGTCAATTTCCCAACACAACGGGGCGGTCTTGAAAGCATTCTGGAGTGCCATTTGGCATTTAGTACAGCAGCAGATATTCAGTCATGTGTAAAGGTCGATTCGACTTTTTTTTTCCAAATTGGTTAAAAGTGACTATGGTGGTGTTGACAAGCGTCAACTGAATCTTCTGACACCATTACCATTCCACGCCACTCACACCTGTTTAAAGCACTCTTTCGAACTCTTTCACCATCACAGCAAGTAAACCTCAACATTTTAAGCACATCTTAAGGCCACACCGCCTTAATTTTATGGATGACATCCACGCGCGCATTGATTTTCGCCTGTTCTTCCAAAAAAAAAAAAGATCACGTCCACCGAGGCTCTGGCCTAGCTCTAGTATCGTAGTTAGCGACAATACGATCCACGAGTCAAGAACTCAGTACATACGTACAGTGCCGATTCATAAAGTCCGCAAAAAGCCAGCATGTGCAGGCTTGTCGTATAGGTCGGTATGTACTGCCGCAAATTCACAATACCAGCTTTGTATTCCTGTGGTTCAGTAGCATTTTTAGTTTTGGCCGAAATTCTTTTTTATTCGCCCGCGCGCACTAGTTTGGGGGTCTTCAGAGGATGTCGTCTATAAAATTAAGTCGGTGTGGCCTAAACATGCGTAAAAGTTCAGTTTCTTAATTCGCATGTGCATTTACGCACGCTTTAACCCTCAAACCATCGTAGGTACCGTATGGGGTCAAAACTGACCCCATAATGCTTTGGACGAATATAGTGTTTTGTGACTCTATTTTGTGATTTTTACAAACATATTACCCGGAAGAAAAAATTACGACAACAAAAGACTCAAATGTGTTAAAACACCAGTTAAAATGTTGGGTTTGACCCCATACGGTGGTTTGAGGGTTAATGTGTTCTGAAGGATAGGATTTCCTGCAATCTACGCACATAACGCAACGATGTGTGATGTAAAGGGTGATAGATAGTCAGACCGTATCTACACGTAGATTCTACTGTGAGATTATCTTGACTTAACCGGTGGCAGAATCAACAAGAAAGATAAAGCGCGCAGTGGAAGCAAAATCATCGGCCGACAAGCTTTAAATCTTAGCAGGGGAATAGCTCTGGCATTCTGCCAACAGAACTGTAAGGCCACACCAAGTAAATTTTATGGATGACGTCCGCGCGCGCATTGATTTTGGCCTGTTCCTAGAAAAAAAAAGAAATGCCGCTTCCTGTAACTATGACCAAAGAGTCACGACGGTGCCGCAAATCGTTAGATTGATGTGAAACCCGCAACGCGAAATGGGTAAAGAGCACATGCTTTGTTTCTGCAGGCCTGCAAAAATGTGATGAAAGAAACAGGGCAGGACGACAACTGCTGTTCCACCTGATTTATTGCTGTTTTGACGATGAATAAAAGACTTCTTGCTTGTTAATCTGTGTCACCTCATTCAATTTGTGTCCTAACATTTGTCGTCTCTTAGTATATTTCTAATCTAGGCATCTTGTTTTTTAGGGCCCTTCTTGTTTGTTTTTTTCGCCCTCTCGCATTAGATATAGGGTCTCCAAAGGACGTCATCCATAAAATTTACTTGGTGTGGCCTAACATTAAGTAATTCGCTGTATCCACACTTGAACGTCTCGGTATACTGTCAAGACTAGATAAGAAGCAACTTCAAAGGCCCGGTATGCTGACAACATGAACAGCTCTGCCTTGACAAGTGTTCGCAGGCTTTCGGAAGATTAACTCTGAAAGTGGCTTTCTATCTCAAAAAGGTTTCCTTTGCGTGATCTGATTATTCCCGCCTGCCCAAGATGTGGAAATCCATTTCTACCTTCATGAGACAGATTCTGGTCTATCAACATGTAATTTATTTATGACGATTTACCACATTTGTGGAAGGATTGACATAACAGGTGACTATCACCTCTTCAAAGATGTCCGACCTGAGACCAGACTGTAAGGTTAGAACCACTCACACCGGGAAGGTCCCCTACTCTTTTCGATAAGTGCGGTGGGTTCTTTAACGTGCGTGGGGTGTGGCTCTCCCCAAACACGGGACCTCCATTTAACGTCCTATCCGAGGGACGTCCCTAGCCGAAGCTAGGTACTCATTTTCACCTGAGTGAAGTGAGGAAAGTCGTGTAAAGTACCTTTCCCAAGGGCAGAACGTCGCCGCGCATGTTCGGACTTGTTCGGGTACGACTCGGAATCGAACCCGGGTCTTCCCGTTTCATAGTCCAGTGATGTACCACTACACCACACGACGCCACGCCCAAGATGATGGTAATGATGGAAAACTGCAGAGCTCGAAATACCTTTTGCATATTTGCAGTCTGGTGCAGACGTCCCTCGGATAGGACGTTAAATGGAGGTCCCGTGTTTGGGGAGAGCCACACCCCACGCACGTTAAAGAACCCACCGCACTTATCGAAAAGAGTAGGGGACCTTCCCGGTGTGAGTGGTTCTAACCTTACAGTCTTGTCTCGGGGTTGGCATCTTTGAAAAGGTGATAGTCACCTGTTATGTCAATCCTTCCACAAATGTGGTAAATCGTCATAAATAAATAAA